ACGGTTTTTCGGGAGCAAAAAAACAACAACGGCGGAAATTTCAATGGTGTTTTCGAGAGCAGAAAAACATCAACGATGGAAAACTCTGACGGTTATCTTTTTGGGAGTATCTTTTCGGGAGCAGGAAAACCGCAGAAAATGCAGCGTCGTTAAAGCGTCAACGCCTCCTACTCGGAAGTGCCTCATAATGTTTTGTCGGCCTTAACCTTTACGCTCACGATCTGGTGTAACCTCGTATGTTCGCATATAACGTGTACCGGTTCAACCTCGAAGCTGATAAGTTTCTTATGTTGCGCTATGTTTCCATGCATAATCTTAACCTCTGAGTAAGTTGAGAGATTAAAGGAATGGTTTAAGTGTGTCCCACCACTTTCATGAGATGGTGTATGCCATGAATATACATTCACTTTTTCTAGCTAGTTTCGAACAATAGTTCAGAGTTGTAGTTGGGCGGGAGCTAGAATGAGCGGCATCAAATCCCCTGTGTGCAATGCGAACGCTGACGAGTTGCCGGCAGCTATCGCTGAGGCGTACAGGACATCTGTGGACAGTGCAACGAACGGTATGCCGTAAGCTGTCATCTAAGTGTTGCCTGGTTGGGAACTCTTATTTTTCGGTCGTTTCTCCAGACTATCATATGGAAGAAAACCAAAACGTTTCCGAAGAAGCGTTCCAACTTAAGTACTCCGTCGAATATCGTTTCGGTGACTTCACTCAGAGAGTGTGCGGGAACTCCTTCTTCGATGGTCTCTTCCCCTGCGTTATCTGCGCACTCAGTAGGATCCCAGGAGCTGCGAAATACTGGAACAGGTGGATTCGTTGCATGAGCTTATAACGTGATGTTTACTAAGGTGTCGTTCGATTTTGCAGGCAGCGAGAACAATGATATAGCAGCAGAAGAACTGCCCATTATCAAAGCACGTCACAAAGTCGAGCACCGACTCGTCCATGGTTGCTGCAAGGTTGCTTAATAGCCTTCGTGCTTGACTCAGGAATTCCTTCAAAGCGGATTGTTTTCATGTTGCAGCTGTTATGCGCACAGTAGCTCAATCGGACGAGATCTCGCTCGAGCAGTTAGGGGAAGCCATGTCGCACTTTGACATCGGTGAAGAATACAATGTCTGTACCTTCTAAATTACCAAATGCACTTGCAAATTTGCTCCACAACATGCTTCAGGAGTTTATCACACGTACGGATGAGGGGGTGTCGCGTCAACGTTGAAGAGACTAAATTGCTACAAATGGCAGCTGCGAACGTGCAACAGTCATCAGATTCTGTCGTTCTCTTGTGGCCGTAACCGCGAGACTGTCAGATGCGATAGTGGGAATGGCAGTAGTCGTTAGTTAGCTATCTGCTACCAGCATTCTGCGGAAATCGTTCTTTGACCCCACATTATAGATTGACTCCTTGATGGTGTATACGAAACAGTTACATGGTCGCTATTTGCACGCAGAAGCAGTCGCTTCGAAACATATGGACCCGAAGTTGCCGAATGGAACTTTTCTGCGCGCACAGAACTTGACTAAGCAATGGGCAGTTCGCGAATCGTACCCATTCAAGGTAGATTGTCTGATTTCTAGTTGAGTAGCTTTTAATGTAGCATATATGAAATGATAGTGTACTCATTTCATGCGACCAACTTGAATGACTTGATGGAAAACTGGCGACGCACGTTGCGAGCGCGTCCAGAGGACCACACGTCACAGAGCGTCGATTTTTTAGGCAATACCTGCTCCAGATAAGTATTATAACCGCTCGGTCTTGAATGAAGCTACCATTGCCACAAAGTTTAGTGCCGCTACTGCTTCAGGCGTGCAATCCTGTACATAATATACAAGAGTACACGTATCGAACGTCCGGTAAATATCAAAAGAAACCTAATCTCAAGGATCTCCCAGCGGATGTAGCTGAATCATTAATAGGTCGGTTTACTGGAATCGATGCTAAAAGTAGCGTTGCAAAAAGTCTAAGCTTTCTTGTCAGGGTGTTGTCTCGACGGCTTGAACTTATATGCCCCAGAATTGGATGCCAGTGTAGAAGAATTGAGTCAAAATCCCACTAGGTAAGGCAGAAAGGCAGAATGATTGCTGCAAATTG